AGCTCTTTTTATGTTATTCATTGTTTTTAGGGAGCTCTTTTTATGTTGTTCATTGTTATTAATGAGCTCTTTTTATGTTATTTATTGTTATTAGGGAGCTCTTTTTATGTATTCATTGTTATTAATGAGCTCTTTTTATGTTATTCATTGTAATTAGGGAGATCCTTTGATGTTATTCATTGTTATTAATGAGCTCTTTTTATGTTATTTATTGTTATTAAGGAGCTCTTTTTATGTATTTAGGTAATTAGCATATTTATGAAGTTATGTTTTTTTTTTCCCTGGTAATTTGCATGGTCATTGTTAAGCTCATATTGAGATATGTAATAATAAACGGATGTAAAGACGTTTCTTCTTCTTCTTTAGAGCTCAGATTAAGAGCACGGTGAAGAGGAAGCTGTACGAGGACAGTCGGGTCCCGATCTCGTCCGAGACCCCGAAGAAGACCGTCAAAAAAACCGCTGCCGCCCCCCCCCATGATCGCAGTGCCGGCCTCGCAGGTCGTCGTGGCGACGGGCATGCAGAGCAGCCCCTCTCTGGCTCCTCCCATCAAGAAGCAGAAGACGGCAGGTGAGCAGAGGACAGGAAGTGAAGTTCTGGTGGATCGGATGTAGACGTGATGAGTCTGGTTTATTTATCAATATATATATATATAGCTGCTGTTTCAGCAAAAAGCATTTTACTCTGTTGGGACCCTTTTACTTTGTTCACTGTTACGATCTATAAAATATATTCAGTATACCTTCAGTAGCTAGCGTAGCATAGAAGTGCTAACGCTAGTTAATGATGTGCTAACATAGTCTGCTAATGTTAGCTCCACTAACCATGACGAGCTCCAAATCCACTAAACCGGTCTGAACATGAAGAACATGTGAAACCAGTGGTCCCACCCTGTTCTGAGCTGTGATTGGCTAGTCTGTGTTCAAAGGGCGGGGCTTAGCGGAGGATCAATTGTGTGAAAGTTTTTTTCAGTGAATGTTTCTGTCAGTAAATAAACATGTGAACCTCCTGCAGATGTGACTCTCAGCGCTCTCAACGACTCAGACGTAAACAGCGACCTGGTCGACATCGAAGGACTCGGAGACGGTTCCTCCAACAAGAAACTCAACTTTGACCAAGGTGAGCGCGTTCATACACACTTCATACACGCATCATGTACGCTTCATGTACGCTTCATGTACGCTTCATGCACGCTTCATGCACGCTTCATGTACGCTTCATGTACGCTTCATGCACGCTTCATGTACGCTTCATGCACGCTTCATGTACGCTTCATGTACGCTTCATACACGCTTCATGCACGCTTCATGTACGCTTCATGTACGCTTCATGCACGCTTCATGTACGCTTCATGCACGCTTCATGCACGCTTCATGCACGCATCATGCACGCTTCATGCACGCATCATGCACGCATCATGCACGCTTCATGTACGCTTCATATACGCTTCATACACGCTTGATATACGCTTCATGTACACTTCACATACGCTTCATTTACGCCTCAAATTTATATTTTATGTTCATTATTTTGATGTTGAGGAGATTTTGAAGTTTGAATTTTTCTCCTCAGAGAGCCTGAATCTGGACTCCAGCCTCATCATGAACTCCAGTGACCTCCCCCTCCTGTCTCGCTGACCTTTGACCTCTCAGCTGAGAAGCATCATGTCTGAAGCACTCGACACTTCATCTGTCCACATTTAAATTACTCCCATGTGTTGTTTTTAAATGTAAAGGTAAATGTTAAATGGTCCGAGGAACCAAATTAAACACATTTATTATCTTTTTATTTTATTTTATTATCAGCACGTAACTTTGTCCTCTTTTGAACTTATAAACTTCAGGTTTTTGTTTTTGTTGTTTTTCGTTCCACAGAATTATGTTTCCATCAGCGAGTTTTAGTTTTCAGTTCAGTGTTTGAAAAGTTTTAAATTCGACGAAACAAGTTTTTTTTCTTTGGTCCTGTGCTGTTATCATGAAGAATAACGTGAAGCTGTGAAGAAGCTTCAATGTGAAGAATGTCATCTGATCAGTCATTCTCTCAGATTAGTCACGTTGTGCTCTCACTACTGGAATTCATCATTTAGTGCCTCAAAATTATGATCGTTAACAACTTTACATTTTAGTCGCAGCGCTGAGCTTCTGAATCCTCAAAGACTCTGAACCGTCTGCATGAAGCACATTTTATAAAGACAAACCGGTTAAAAATCTCTTTATCGCGCAAGAAACTAAATATTTGTTTAAGAGTCTTTGAAGATTCTGTAAAATATATTTCCAAAATAAAAATATGGTTTTACATTTTAGAGTATCGGAAGCTTAACGCTGAGACTCTGGCAAAACACTGGCAAAACGTCGGTAAGTTCTCTGTTCTGTAAAATATGTTCGACAGACACAACGAGAAGTCCATCAAACTAATCAGTGAATTCATTTGAGGACACAAAAGACTAAACGGAGAGAACAAAGAGTTTACTGAAGAACCGAACGAGACTTAAGATCCGTCTCATGTTATTCTACAGATCTCATGTTCAGACTCAAACCAACATGTTTGTTTATTCATACTTTTGTCTTCCCGACGTAGATCTTTAACACCACAAATAGTTTAATCAGTAATCTCCTCGCTGTAGTTTTTAATCAAACAAACAGCAGGAAGTAGTGCATTAGCCGGGGACTAGTTTCAGCGGCGGATTGATCCACATTCGATGCTCGAGTGAGAATTAGTGACGAGAAGAAAACGTGTAGAAAGTCCAGACTTGTGCTTTAAGGCGTCGGTGGTCCCGTCGGCTGGCGATCATGTTGGTAAGGAATCAGCTTCTTGACTTGAACATTTGACCAATCAGCAGCTGTGAGCGATGTAAAGACGTTTTGATTATATTAAGTAAAAAAAACAAAAACTAAACTAGTTTGTTGTCTTTCTTTGGGTTTTGTTGGATGTTTTTGTTTCGAGTGTTTCCTCGATGATCATATTTGGACTGAGGAGTGACGTAGAGTAGCGTCACAGTACAGCACGTCATAGTGTAGTGTGCTGTAGAAACACTTGTTTAGGTCACAGTGAACTTTGAACGACACAACAGTTCACCTTCCAGTCCAGACGTTTGAATTTGAAGAGATGATCTCCGGGCGTCGCTGCTTCTGCCGCCACGGAGGAATTAAAAGTTATGGTTCAGTAAGTCGTGAAAAATGTTATTTAAAGAAGTCGAAGTATATTCTTTCATAAAAACAGCCCGGAGACGAGAAGAGAAGACACAAAACTACAGAAATCAGACCCGAGACGTTTAGGAGCTATGGTTCAATAACACAATCTGTGTCTGATCAGAAGAGAGGAAAACACACGTTTCTGATACGATACAGATTTTATTGAGTTTTCATTTACAATATAATATATTTATATTTATAGTGTGTAGAGTGATTGTTTCCACTGAAACCAGAAAGTCATTGTACAGCGATGAAATCCTCAGAAGGGAATAAACACTCGAATATAGACTTTTATTTTACAGTTGCATAAAAATACATCATCTCATTTGTCTTATGTAGAGAATTTGTCCAAAACAAGAACAGAAAGAACAGAAAGAAATGAACGATCTACATTTTGAAAATACTTGTGAATGTTTTCATAGATGTGCTTTAGTTCCCTTACCGTGTGGATTTAAACTAGCAGCCCTTTATTTAAAGAGTCCTGTCTCACTCTGGTGGATCTGCGTCATCTTTCAGCACTTAACACCGAAAATAAGCTTTTAAAAACAAAACTCATTTGTTTTTGCTTCACACATTTTAAATTTTAAAGTGCTAAAAGTTCATCTAAAAACAATAAATCTTTAGTTTTCACCGCCTGAAAAAAACCATAAAAACACAAGAACCTCACAGAAGTTTTACATTTTGATAAAAGTCTGTTGTAATAAGGCTACAGCCAGCAACTGGTTAGCTTAGCTTAGCATAAGGTCTGTAAATGGGGAGTAGACTCTGAAGTGTGATTCTACAGTTTACTTCTTAGGAGTTGAGGATGAACATGAAGCACTTTTTGTTTTCTCACAATCTCGCAGTAAACATCTTTGTTTTCTTGTGATTGTTGCTTAATAACTCGGTCAACATGTTTCTAGATATTTGAGAAGTCTGATACCAGGATATGAAACGCCTCATTTGCGCCGTACAAATGCTGGATCGGGTATCGGCAAGTATTCAGTAAAAATGAATATCGGGCCACTATGACGTTATCGTGATGTGTTCACATGTAATCTCGTAAAATGTAGTTTTTGGTGATAAACTTGAATAAATCCAGTAGTTTGAAGGAAATTATGAACTTTCTTTTTGCTTTTAACACACCGGTATCGATATTGGTCTCGGGATCATCTCTAATTATCCGAATCAAGACTTCTTGAATTAGACATTTTAATCTTGATGGAGATCTCAGTTGTCACTTTAAGCCTACATATCATTTAAAAAACATACAGTTGTGAAGAACGGGGATATTAGCTGTAGAGACCAAATACATTTTTCGCAAATTCTGCATTGGCTTCATTTTCAGTTTCGGTGCTGAGAAATCGCAGCAATTTAACTTATTTTATTTTGTTTACCAGAGTGAAATATCGCTTTAATACTGAAACGTCGGCGGGTTGCTCGCTACACGCTCTAAACATCACAGAGACGACAAAACAGATTTACACAAAACACAAAGGACGCACTTCAATGAGCTAAATAAAAGTATCGCTGACGTCACGTGAAGGAAACAACAAATGTAAGAATGTTCAGATTCCAACAGAAAGCTTTAACTTGTATAATGATACACAGATAAACGATAAAAAATAAAGACATGTATGAACATACGATATGAAGTTGCTTTTTGAGAAAGTGTCAACGAGGTCAAAGTCGTCACGATTAAGAGACAGTTCCAGCTGTTCGGAGGTTTTTTTGTAATTTTCTAAACCAGTTGTCAGTGTCGTCAGAGGATGAGCCACGCTGTTACTGAGGTCAGATGAATGTAGATATTATTATATACACACAACACACACATGCCAGTCAATTATCAATGCATGCTCTATCCTATTTATACCTGCAGTTCATTGTTTTTAAACATTTAGTCTGTAAAATTGTGAAAAATGCTGACGACAGTCTTTGAAAGCCTAAGTTGACGTATTAAAATGTCTTGAACAATATATTCAGTTTACAATCACAGAAGAAACTAAATTTCCCGAAAATAGACATTTAAAAAGCTGCTTGTGGTATTTTTGGACTCAAAAATGAGTATTCGATAATAGCAAAATCATTGCAGATGAATAAATTCTCCATAAATTGATTTACAACTAATACGACCCGCTCTAATCTCACTACAGACATGTTCTACGGTATGTGTTGGCTATAACTAATAACTTCACTTTATTTAAAATACAGAGCGCTGACAAGTTTAATTTTACACAGTAAAAAGTCCCGCTTAGAATGTGCTTTGGGCCTAAAAAAATAAAAAGCATCTGTCGCCTCTAAGGTGGCCATTTGAGGAAATCTCAGGCTCGTCAGGCTCAGATGATGTTAGCATGTTAGCATGAGCGTAGCAACACAGCTATGGTTAGCATTCGTGTTAACGCCTTTTGTTCATCGCGTCAAATGTAGTTCGTAATCAGTGATTTGGCTGCAGCTTTTCCTCCAAACTACCGTTAGCATTTTAACATCATAACACTTTAATGTTATATGCTAACCGTTAGCATTTACTGTATTACGCTAACGTTGCCAACATGAAGGAGATGAAAAAACCTCCAATCACACCGGAAACATCCGTTAAAGGATACAAATGATTTGAGCCCCGAGACACTTTAAACATTTAAAAAGGACAATAGAACCAAGAGCGGACGAACACACATTCATGAATACTGTTCTTCTTATTTTACAGCTTTTGTAAGATTGTTTTCTTACAAAACTTTCAATTTGTTGAAGAATTTTTGGCTTAAAAACATTCTTTGAAGCAGAGTCCACATCACATTTTTGACCCATCTACATGTTTCATGTTTCTCTCCTCATACGTACGAGCAGTATGGGACGATGGCGAGTGTGCAAAGTTAAAGATAATAAACAGAAGATTATCTTAAAGCTACAGTTTGTGTCGAAACAACTCAATGATTTGGCAGCGTGTTGTTCCCTCTGAGGAGTCGATCCTGCTTCGTCTCAAACGTCTTTAAAGCTCATCTTCAACTAATCGCTCGACAGCTTTAAAGATTTGTAGTTTTTGATAAATGAAATGATTAATTGGAGGTTCTCAGGTTGATGTAAAGACTGTAGATGACAGATGATTATCACAGTGATGTCTTCACATCGATGTTCGATATTTAATTAAGTATTCAAAATGACTTGTTGTCGTGTAAAAGTTAATTAAGTTTTAAGGTTTTAACACAATTTCGAGGAAAGATGATAAAGACGAATATCGAAATTAAAAACATGTTTTGGTACCAAGACTCAAGTATGGAGCTGGCAGCAGAATCAAAGAAACAAACCAATTATGTTCTATCTCAAGAAGCTTCATGTTGCTCTCGACGTTTTAAAGCTAAACTGAGAACAAAGTCCGAACAACAACTGATCCAGACTCACCTGGAACTGATCCAGACTCACCTGGAACTGATCCAGACTCACCTGGAACTGATCCAGACTCACCTGGAACTGATCCAGACTGAGAGTGCGTTCCACAGAAGCAGGATAAACTCTCAGAGACGGTAACAAATCAAGAGATAAAGCAGGAAGGACAGAAAGAGCATCAAAAATGTGACAGCATTTCTTACACGATGATGCGTTACCCATCATGCAACAGAAAAAAGAAAGATTAAAGTTGTTGGACTAGAACTGTGCAAAGTCATGACAACGGAACATATGAGGTCAGACTGAGCTGATTATAAAAGAGCTTCCTCTCAACTGTGGGAAGTCAAATCTCTGAGATCTGATGTTTCTATCGACACACGTGAGGAAGAACAACCTCCTCCAGAATATGACGACGTGTTGAGACGTGTTGAGACGTGTTGAGGCACAACGATGAGTACAAAACTGTACAGTACTGTGCAAGTGCAAAAGCTGGAAGCAGAGCTGCAGAGCGTCACCGGTGAGCTGTGGTGAGACGCTGCATGCGTCTGTGACTGAACAAGAGTCAACAATGTCCGACCAAGACGAGTTCAAAATACTACATTAACACAACCGTCAGAACCCACATGGGTGAACTCTGGGTTATTAGAGTAATATCTTTGAAGGATGAACGTTTGTGCAAACGTGGTGACTAATGTGGCCACAACGTCCATGTTCACGGAGCCTCTGAGGGGACAGACGCTTCAGACGAACGTGAGATAGTTGACCTGATCGTGTCCGATCAGGAGCTCCATACATTTAGGAACGAGCCATTACAAGTGATGAACTCTTAAACTAGGCGCACGTCTTCAGAGTGCAATAAAGAACGAATCCAGAACCCAGAAAGGGTCTTAAAGGTATGATCGATATGTCAGAAAGAAAAGCAGAATGATTACAGACTGGTTCTGTGAAACTAAGTAATAAAACAGATTTTATGGTGATTTCTGTCAGTAACCCTCCGTATCCGTTGCTTCATGAAGAACAACGTGGACGACTTCAAGTAGAAGAGACTGAAGCCGGTCAGAGAGGATGAAGAAGTGTAAATGCACCTTTAAGAGGGAAGAGCGCCGTCACTTCCTGCAGATTCAATATGTACAATCAAACATGCAGGCTGAGGACAGAGCGAGCACACATCAGCTGCTCCGACCGCCACTATTCACATATAGACACTATTAACAAACGGACCACGAGCTCTTCACGCTTCTACTCACACCGGGAGAAAAACGTCAACTTGATCAAACCGTAGACGATTTACTCTCTTCTGGTAGAACCGGAGCGCTTCAGTCAGTGCGACTCAGCCGAGACACTCAAATAAAACTTTTCTTTAAAACACAAAAATCTTCGGCTTCAATGGCTGAACGTCACGTTAGATTCTGTTTAGCTGGTTTGGGCTCAAGGACTAAACACTTCACCCCTTCATGTGGTGTCTGGCCTGGGACTAGCGCTGCTTCATTGGATCTATTTATTAATTCATCATCTTCAACAGATGAGCTAAATATCTACAGAACCTGATGCACAACCAGTGCATCACCTCGGTTCACTGACTGATGAAGTGCTGGGAGAGTCCAGACGTTACTCTAGAGATCCGTCAGTCATGAACGCTCATGACTTTGGCTTCATGATGCGTCTGAATGAATCCTTTCTACGTCTTCCTGATGGAAGATCACTACGTTTACTGCAGGACATCAAGCAGCTGAAGGCCTCCTGGATCACTGACGGTCCTGAAGTGCCTCGACTCCTTCAGAGAGACGATTCCGATCGTCTCAAAGCATTTTTGTTCCGCCTTGATTACAACTCAAGACCTTACTAGAACCTCTTCAGAAGATCTGGAACTTCAGCATCCAATGGGCAGCTGTCCGAGGAGCAGCGACGTGAACCGTGTCCCAGTTCTTAGGCTCCGCCCTCCTACGATGTCCGCAGAAATAATCGGAGGGAAATGTTTTCCGACGCTGAGGAACAACAACCGTGTGCTTCGTCCTTTCATTCTTGTTTAACAATTACATTTTAATTCTCTCTGTAGCGAATCAGAAGCAGCCACGTAGAGAGTTTGGGAGGAGTCTGTTGCTCATCTGCTTCTCTCCAAGTCTGTTTGCTTCCAGCCCGACGCCAACGACACAACCAGTGTGTCCTCAGTCTCCCAGAAGTTCTTTGTGATCTCACGACGATGCTGACGATTAACCCTCTGTACGTTAATCTGAGGGGGAAGGTTGGTTCATCCTACGAGCCTTCAGGACGAACCAGTGAGCTCAGTGAGTGATGAAGAGGTGATTTTGTAGAAACAGGTGGCGAACAGATCAGAAACTTCAATAACGTTTTCTGTCAGACTCTTCAAGGCTGCAGAAATATATCCAGGAATCCAAAACAAAATACTTTCCAAGACAACGATCTTCAACTTCCTGTGATTCTTCTGTCCATCCAATGTGGTCGCAGGAAGAGGCGGGACTTACAGTGATGCTAGCAGATGATTGGAGCAGAAATAAGGTGCAATGGGGGGGGGCGGGGGGGGGGGGGGCGGGGGGGGGGGGGGGGGGGGGGGGGGGGCTCGATGTTCCTTTCAAGCTGCTGGTGGTCGGTCGGTCTGCACCCACAGTGTCAGGGTCGGGACTCTGGGTGAGGAGGGTTCTAGTGTCCGGGGTGCTGGTGGGAGGTGAAGGACGGGGGAGGAGACAGAGACAGAGGGCTGGACTGAGGGCTGAGGCCTCCTGCAGGAGGGGAGTCCGCCGCCGACTGGGAGACACTGGGGAGGGGGGGGGGGGGGGAGGTTTACTCGGGATTCTTTCTTCTATCATTTAGTACTAATGTGCGTGTTGAAGGTGATCCTCACCTGACAGTGTAGCTGCTGCGGTGGGCGGGATCTGTTACCCCGGCAACAAAAAGCTTCTTTGGGGGTCCGTCAGACTCCACCCCTCCTGAGAGGCAAAAGAGTTTCACAGCTGTACACATCAGAGGTCACTAACAAACAGAACCGTGATGCTACTCAGCCAATCACATCGCTGCATTCCGATGAGCGCCGACAGTGAAAACAAAGCTTTTAAACGTTCTTCACACAGAGTTTAGAACCGGGACGTCTCAACCGTTCAGAGGCCGTGACGGCGACGTGAAGTCGAACTATCGAAGCCGCGACTTCAAGTTAGACATGAAGACGTTCTGGACCTTTGCTCTAGGAAACTGTCTCTAACTGGATCGCTCTCACGTTTAATTGAATTCCTCTGGTTTAGATATTTATTATGAAAAAGTACAAAAAATAAAAACCTAATTGTGAGAAATCTTAAGTTACACCAAATCCGTTAACGGGTCCCAAACATTCTCTATGCAGAGCAAGAGGGTCGGCCGTGAGTCGACGGACCACTACGGACCATAAAAACATTACATTCTGAGCTCCTCAGCACCTATGAATCCATTAAAGACTCGGCTGAGTCACGGGACACGAAACATCCGGGAAGCTGCAGGAAGTTAACACGAAGCAGAGAGGAAACAGGTAAAACGTTTGGTAAATACAGCTCGTGGAGCCTCCATCTTTATTTGTTTTAACATGGATAACAATTGTGAGCACTTGGAAAAATGTCGGTTGTACAGATTCGAGTGTTTTTCAACTTTTGTAAAAAAGTAATTGCTGACAGACAGCGAAGACGTTTACCAGAGACGGAGCGGATTGGACGACAGAATGCTAACGCGACGCTCACGTGTCACTTCCTGTGGCGATTCCATGTTAGACGACACGGAGAGTCTGAGGTGACAGTCGACATTTATTTATAAGTTTAACAATCACGTTGCCGTTAACAGAGCAAGAAGAGATAAAATACTGGACTTTCATTCACCAGGTGACACGAACACAAAGACTCTTAAAGACTCGTCATGTTGGTCCGTATTTGTGGGCGTATAAAGAAGCAACTGTTTGCTAACAAGCTCAACATAAAAGCTGATGTCAGCGATGTGTTTGACGTAATGTAGACACTCGAATCTTTACCTTTCCTCTTGAGTGGAGTTAAAGCGGGCCATCTCACAGTGGCACTGACTGCTGGTCTGTTGGACAACAAAAACATGAGTAAGTAGACTGAGACCTTCTCTGAACGTATACGGAGGTTTATTTTAACACATAACCTTTGGTTTACTGAATATGGCCAGTAGGTGGCGACAAACGCCACGTCAACGATACGTCAAATACCAGAGAAGAAGATTCTGAGCATGCTCAGTGAGCTTCTTTTACTTTGTTGTTTTATGAACAAATCAAACAATAAGTGGCTGATCATGAAGCTCCCAATAAATGACAGAACCACAACCAGGGTTTGGGTTCACCTGAACCTCCTGGTGGGACTCGGGGAGGAGTTGGGCGTGGCGCCGCTGTCCTGTGACTGGAACCACTGAAGAAGAAAAAACAGTAAAAACAGTCAGTCTGAACCCTCAGGGCTCACTGTAAACCCTCTGATCTGGATTCAGATCATAATCCAGAAACAACAACTATTCACCATCATGTCAAACATGTTGCGCTTTACTTCTCGCTCTTGATTGGTGGATGGGATTCCTCTAAACACTACATTACCCATAAGCCATAGCATTCTAGTAAGCAGTCCTAACTGACAGGAAGCACAACCAAAAACAGCCAGAATAAGAGGCAGGAGGTGAAGATAAGGCGGTGTGGAGGTGCTCACCACTGAGGCGTGGTTGTGCCACTGACTGACTGGAGGAGCTGGGATCAGACTGGAAGCACTGGGAGAGAAAAGAGACGGTTAATCCCAGTCAGACTTCACAGAGCTGGAGTGTGTGTGTGTGTGTGTATGTGTATGTGTATGTATGTCTGTGTGTGTGTGTGTGTCTGTGACTGTGTCTGTGTGTGTGTATGTCTGTGTGTGTGTGTGTGTGTCTGTGACTGTGTCTGTGTGTATGTATGTATGTCTGTATGTATGTGTGTGTGTGTGTCTGTGTGTGTATGTATGTCTGTGTGTATGTATGTGTGTGTGTGTGTCTGTGTGTGTATGTATGTCTGTGTGTATGTATGTCTGTGTGTATGTATGTGTGTGTGTGTGTCTGTGTGTGTGTGTGTACCTCAGTCTCTGCAGACTTCCTCTGAGTGTCATCATGTTCTCTTCCTGTCGTGAACACAAACAGCTGTTAACCTCCATGTTGACCTTTGACCCCATCTAGATAACACAGTTGAACTCACATGAAGACTTCTGTGAAAGACACGATTCATGTGATTCATTCACACATGAAACATTTTGGACAATAGTTAGTAAAGTATGAGAACAGATAGAAGACATCTGGTCCGTCTGAGCTCTTCTCGTTTCTATGAAGAG